ATTAACATTTAAAATTTTATTTATTCTCTCACTTCCATGCTTATTACAAAATTAATTGTATGCAAAAATATTGGGGTTTACATTAAAGGGATAATAAATTACAAAAATTTTAAATGAATAAATAATTTGAAAAAAAAAACAATTTCATAATGAAATATATATTTAAAACACGAAAATTCTTACACAGTGTTTATGCACAAAAATGCAGAAATTCAATTGACTTGTTATATGTTCTAGATTAAATATTAATTTTTAAGATTAATTCATTTTTATTTATTTATTCTAGCTTAGTAAACTGTATTTATCAACCAATAGTCTTCACTCATTTGTAACTTTTTGTTTAATATCAAATAAAGCGACTAATTTATTTTATTTTCTTTTATTTATAATTTTATATTAATTTTATTTTAATTTTCATGTATAAACAATTTTCTTTCTTCGTTTTTTTATTTATTTATTTACTTATTTGTTTAAATTTGTACTACTAAATTATCAGCATATATTAGATTGCAAATGTCACCAGTGCATATCGGTTTTGTGATTTCTTTCATCACAGTTATAAATAGCAGAGGGATGTGAATTGCATCAATTGTTGATTTTCCTGCAAGGAAACCAAATTGATAATTTCCGATTGTGATTGTCGACATTAATCTTCTTTCAATGATTTTCTTGACAATTTCCATCCTTTATAGCTTTCAGAGCTTCCGTAAGCTCCTCTACAGTGATGTCTGGAATCGGACCTTCGATGGGTGGAGCGTCAAAGTTGACATTGATGGGATTTGTTTCATTTAACAGACGGTTTAAGTATTCTCTCCACTGTAGCTTGTTCTAGAACAATCTCGTTTTTGTCGTTTTTGATACATGAGGCACCAACTATGTCTTTTTTCGTATGCTTTGCTTGTTTTGCTATACGATACAGAGATTTCATTTGTTCACCTTTGCTTTTAGTAAGCCACTCTCTGCACTGATCTATCCGAGCCAGTGCAACTTGAAATCTTGCATAGTTGTTCTTCTCACAGAAAATTTTATGGTCATCAACAGACTTTGATTTTAGCTATTGCTTGTATGCAGCTTTCTTTTCAGCTATTGCTTTTTGTACACAGTTATTTCACCACCAAGTGTCCCGTTCATGCTGACGTTTTGTACCAGTTTTCTCACAAACTGTAGTTGCAGTGTTTATCAAAACGGTTTTGTATGCACTCCAATCTGTACTGGCTTGCGATTGGTGGTCTTACTATGTGGCGACAATTTGTTGAAATTTCTCTCGATAAATATTGCTTTTGAGCTTCCACGTTTTGATTTTCCGAGGCATTTGTTTAGACTTATGTTTCGATAGTTTTGACAACCAGGTCTGCCACAAGGAGTCTATGTTGGGCGACACATGATTCGCTAGGTATAACTTTGACATTTTTGAATAGCCTTCGGTGTTGTTGCTTGACAACGAAGAAATCAATTTGCGTGGCTGATGGTCCACTTTTGTAAGTTATGAGATGTTCCAACCTCTTTCTAAAATATGTGTTCAGTAAAAAAAAACCCGTGACTTTCAGCAAACTCAAGGATTCGGTTGCCATTTCGTTCTCCATAGCCAAAACCGCCATGTACGTTGTCAAAACGTGGCCATTGAGGTCACCTTCAGTCAGGATTGTTTCAGATTTTGGTATTGTTGAGATGGTGTCAGAGAACACAGCCATAATGTCATTTTTCATCTCTTCTGATTCGCCTGTCTGTGGTGCGTATGCAGAAAAAATAATCATTGTTTGCTTTTCTAGGCGAAGCTTGATCCACATATGACGAGAATTAATCCTATTAATTTCCAGTACTCTTGGGCTAGCGGTTCTCTGAAAAAAATTCCAACACCATTTTGGCCGTTTTTTGACCATTCCAGAATAGTTTATATTTTTCTTTATCTGAGTTGACATAAAGACACCATTCGATTTCCATCGGGTCTCCTGAAGGCAGCAGATGTCAATGTTTCTACGCTCTAGCATTTCTGCGATTTCCATGCTGCGGCCAGTCAGTCATCCAACATTGAGCGTTCCAAGTCTAAGTACCATAGAGGGGCCATTCTGAATTTTTCTGCAACATCCCTCCGCTATTGCATACTTCTCAAGGATTCTTAGCACCTCTTGACCACTTAAGGCCTGCTGGGGACTAAGGGCCATTGTTTTTGATGGCATAGAATAATTTGGGGAATGTTTTTACATCCGGACACCCATCCTGACGACAACCACCAGTTATAAGCGGTGGGCCTTCTCAAAAGCACGTAAAGCAGTGTGGACGCAGTTTTATGTCATGCCCAGGACCAAGAATCAGAATTGGAATAGAAATCTATAGAGGATAGGATAGTTTACAGATCCAATTATAATAAACTGATTTATAATAAAATAAATGTATTCACCAATTTGATGAATCTCTTATCTTTTAGATTTTTTGACTTACATACTGGGATCCTGCTCGAATGAATAATATAACAACTCACATTTTCCATCATTTCTTGAAACCTCGGCCAGTAAAAATAAATTTGAATCACTTTTACACCGCTTTAGATAAAAACTTGCTTGAATAAATAATTTTTTTCACATTCTATTGAAAAATTGAAAAAATTTTTTTTTATGAATTTATGTATGTCATGTATGACTAATTAAGAAAAATTAGTTGTTCTTATTTATAAATTATATACACACACGCACGCAGATAAATACACATATACAAATCAACAAACCCCTACTCCAACAATTTGAGTTATAAAAATTGGATGAAAATGAAACAAAGACAGTCAATGTTGTCATTTGTTTATTTATTTATTTATTAGAAATGAACAAATTGTTTTAGCAAACAAGCAAGCCAAAAATATATACACATACAAACGTATGTGTGTGCATACACACACTCACCACACACACACACACACACACACACACACACACACACACACACACACAATAACATAGTACATACATACATACACGTATTTGCAACAACTGCTACTACCACTAAAACTGTTACTAAGTAGATTATTGTAAATAAAAATCAACTAGTAAAAAATGGCTAATGCACTATTGTGGATGCACGTAGGACATGAACGAATACTTTTTCTGTGACTGGATGATAACACCTTTTTTCCCAGTTCTAAGAAACTATACCAGACTGCTGTATTGGAGTGATGACACAATTTAAACTTCCAGCACACAGATAGCTGCCTGATTTAAGCATTTGCGGATGGATACTTTTCTTGTTACGTAATAATTTTAATACATTGACTGATCCTCGTTAAGGACTTTTAAAAATAAAAAAAACATTAGTTCTAAATTAGATTATTACATTGATATGGTTAACAATAAATAAAAATATTCATGGAAACGTGTGAATGTTTAAGAAAGTTTCAAGTTTTTATTGTAGAATCCAAAAAGAATACCTGGAAAAAAATATATAAATGTCTTAAAATGGTATTCAGAAAAGAGCTATATAGAAGTTGAAAGATCATCATTTGTAACATTAAAAAAAAGATGTCTGAAAAAGAACTATATACTACTCCTTCAATATAACTGATGAAATTTGTTGATAAATAAGAAAATTGCTATAACTTTTGGTTTCCTAATTTTGGTGATTATGCTCAAAAACTTAATCTTTGCTTGAGTCATTGGATTACGCTTCAGAGTTATGTCAATTAGCTGTCAATAACATTTAGCGAATAGTCAGCGGAGTAAAAATTTGTATTTCATCAGATCCCGAATCATTATTCGAAATGTATCCAAATTGATCATATCATTATCTTCAAAGGGGTTTCGCGTCCGTCTACCACTCCCACGACTCGGGCTCGAATCCTGCAGTTTCTACAGGTTCATTCGGGTAGCCGACCCCCGGCCAACTCAGCCGTCTATGCTTTCGAGGCTGGTAAATTAGTAGACGACGTAAGTTTTCGCATGTTGGCCGGCGAGATGGCTCAATGGTTCAAATGCTCGCTGAGTCAAACATCTCAATGGTTATAATATACTCAGCGTATAAGATGCGGTGCTTGCGCTTGCACATAAAATACATTTGTACGTCGTGTGAAAAGATAAACAGCCTTTGTGGCGAAGATGGCTACTTCAAATCAATGGATGAAGATATGTAGAACATAATAAAAGATATACAGATAATATATCTGTAACATTGTAAGTATGTCAGAGCTGCAATAATAGAGACAAAAAAGTTACCCTCGTCAGTTCTTTGGTTTCTTAAAAAGACTAAATACCTTGGCAAAATTGAATGCCTTATCAGTGGCAAAATTTTGCAGCTTAGTTTTTTATTTTAATATATATTTCCAATTCCAGGTATTTAGTATATTTTTTATACAAACTTTTTTCATATTTTGTTAAATATCGTAAGATATCCATGGCTTCTCTTTATTCAGTGAAGCTATTTGAAAATATCTATTAAAGCCCAATGCCTATATTTAAACAGATAATTGAAATGCGGAATTTCCATTTTAATAATTTCACTTCAAAACATCCGACCAATCCGTGCCACAAATATTTTTTTAATTTGTCTATTTGTTCTTTCGTTAATTTTTTGTTCAGTAATTTCGTCCGGTGATTTTATTAATTCGTTGATTTGCTAATTAACTCATTTGTTAACATTGCAAATGATCAAATTCAACATTTACAGAATCATTCGGAAATATATTGTCAATGATCGAGTGTTTGGTTACACTTAATTGAATTGGTACGTTGATCAGTGATTTTAAACAGTCAGAGCTGGAAATTTCGAGGGACCGGATCGGATATTTTTATCCGACTTTGACCCCGCGAGATGTTATGAATTAAAATTTTTTTCTCCTGAAAATTTTTTTGAGATCGTATTATTAAAATATAGCTATGTATGTGTAGCTATATGCAATCATCTTTGATAATGAATATGAAATGCTAATATTGTGAATTAAATCACCTAATTCCTTAGTGTGTTTTAAAACATAAATGACAATAATCACAATGAATAATCACAAATAAACATAAATCACAATGACGGATTTCATGTGTTTTTTAAAGTATTTTTTATTTAGTAAAGATAATAAGGTAAAATTTGAATGCAAAAGTTTAAATATTTTTCTTGGAGTAAAATCAGAAATTTTTACCTGGAGCCAGACACAAGATTTAAATCATAAAATATAACAAAAGTCTATTGACATTTGAATCAGATTCAAGTAAATTGGTACTTAAATCTACCATTACCTAAAACAATTTATTCTCAAAACCCATCACGTCAAGGACCTTTCCCAACTGTTAATAATGTACGTTTTCGCATCATAACTTGGAGAACGATATGTAATCACAATTATGGCATTTTTATCTGTTGTTTATTATTTCTATACTAAATATTTCAAATTTGTTATCAATAAAGTTGTTGATATTTATTTATATTATTATTTATATTATTCCTTTATTTAAAAAAAACATAAAAACCAACGCCGCCACCATGTTTTCTGGACCTATTTTTTCCACAAAATCAAACCCATCAATATTTATCATCCCATTGTTAATAATTTTTCTGCTTTATTAACTAAACATCTACTTTTACACGCATTATTTTGACAAAAGAATTGTTTTTAGGATTTTTTACTTTGAAACATCTGTGCATCTGTTTATTTCTTTTCTATCTTTATACATTTTGCAATTATTATCAGCATCATTACTTTCTATGTCGTTTAAAGAATTTATTAAATTTTAATCAAGCATTTTTGAGTTTATCTGAATTATTTCAGGTTCCCTCCTTTGTCCATTACAACTTTTAGTTCTCTTCGTCGTCATTTTTGCGTTTTTTAAATCTTGGTCTGTTCTATTCACTACGGGATAGCATGAAATTGTATTTATTCTACTCGATCTGAGAAAATTATTTTTTTGACATTTTTTAACATGAGTCATTTTCACCGAAACTCTTTTTATTCTAAATTTGCAATTTTGAGTGACTTTTTGCCCATAAATTTTGTGATTTTCTTCTGGTCAGAACCTTTTTTGTTTTTTTCATGAGATTTATCGACTGGAGTATTTTCATCATCTGACCGCAAAGCAATTAGAAACTTTGCTGCTTGGTTGGTAAAATCAATCAAGATTTAAATCATTCTCAATTTTAATTACATCATTAAAATCAACATTTGAATCACATTAAAATAATCAAATTTGAATGAATTTTATCCATATTGCTAGCCGTTGGTTTATTTTGTTTGTTTTAATAAATTTGAAATTAAAATAAAATTAAATTTTAAAGTTGTCCCTTAAAATTTTATTTTTGTTGCACGCTAAAATATTTACATATTTTGTGTTTTTGCGGGCATAGTTGTTTATTACACGTCTGTAAACCTTTGAATATGTACTTCCGTTGTTTGTACGCTAATTTACTGATTTCCTTCAAAATTTGGAATCACTACTTGAATAAACTCTGACATTTTATTCATTAAATTATTAACCTCAAAAGTTTCAGTATCCAAATATTTACAAGTAGTTCGTTTTCTTTATTTACAGCACAAAAGGCAAATTTTTCATATTTTTCCAGTTTTCTGCTTACAGTTTCACTTTTTAACAGTTTGAAAGCTCCAACTGCACGTTCATTATTGATTAAACGGAGGTTATTTGTTAGGGATTTGTTAGGATTCAAATAATCTTTTTAATCCTTATTTTAATTGACTTGAAAAAGAACTATATAAAAGTTGATCATTCATCATATGAAACAATAAATTTTTTGCATCAAATTTTTTCTGTTTGCATCAAATTATTTATTTGCCAATATAAAATATGACGTTCACAACTTTTTAATATTATTATTATCATCCACCAGCATGAACTGTCCCTGAACAGAGACTGTTGGAGAGATTTGCTAGAAAATCAGTGGTGCACACAGCTTTAGCTGATATCTTGTTTAAAAATCTTATGCAGTCTTATATTATCATAGTTTTTATATAATGGATGTTTTGATGTTTTGCTCGTTTCTTTGTTGTTTGGTTTAGGTAATTATGGTTTGTTGTTTCCAGTATTTACATTTATTAGACAGTATTTACCTATTGTGGTTTAATTAAAATTTATAATATGCTTTATAATTTATAATACACTTGTGAATTTTTTCTCAATTTATCTAATAAAACTGATAAGTCTCCACACACGTTGAGACGTACGTAAGCTATACTAATACAGTCTATTTAACAAATATTTTTCTTAACGCAAACCTCTTCACCTCTAACTCTATTTCAAGTCACATTATATCATTATTCATTGCTTCATAAAAATTCATCTTTCTTTGCTTCATTTTTTAATATTTATTCAATCAATTAGTGGTCGAAAGTTTTACCTGCTACCTTAGTTATAGTTTTATAAAATTAATAAAAAATTTTTTTCACTTACAAAAACTTGCAGGTAAAGTTTAAAACGGGCATGGATTATTCAACTGTAACAAACAAATACGTTGATAAACGTGATACTTCATTATTGACAAACTGCGCCAACGAAAACGTTGATGAATGTTTTCAAATTAGTCAGGTTTGGAGTCCTGAATTTTGAATCTTAAAAATTTATTAAACATTATTTGACAATTTCATATGAAAGCTTTGAAAGTATATATTTTTTTAAATCTTTAATCACCTTTGTCAATGTTCGTTGAGCTACATTATATATTTCTAAAGTTGACGCGACCTAGTTGGGAGAAAATGAGAGAAGAAAGACAGATTTGGTATAAAAGGTGTGTAGATGACTGAATTTGTACTGATCAAAGCAGTTTGCAGTATTTAAATGTTAATGTCATTAACATACTATTGTAACTTCGACGATCGTAACAATTGACAGCTTTTTCCGACACCAGTGTTTTAGCTTGCATTATCGTCAAGTTGATTTTCCGTAGGTTCAAGATTTCTTATAGATAAACACAATACTCATCAAATTGTAACTAAATTTATTTTGGAAATTTTTTTAAATATTCCTAGAAATCGTCAGCAAAGAGGAAGCTTAATTTAGAATATAGCGAATATGTTTCTCAATCATTTTATCATGTTCGGCGTTTTAAAGCACCAAAGTCAAGAGAAAGTCTTTCGCCAGGATTCGTCGATGCTCAACCACCAAGTTAGTATTACACTATTTTTTTTACATATAAACTAGTTTTATATTGTAAATCTTTATGTAAATATTTTGTTATGATTTTTTCATTGAGATTACGCGACGTACTAGGCTCGTTTCTACCCGTCTTTTGTAAGGACCACCTAAATGATTCAACGGCATAGTTCCTCCCAAGGACGTAACATATATCAGCACTCAAATAAACAACTAAATGCTTTCATCAGGAGCCTGTTTGAGGATTTGGTAAAAACCGTTGAACCAATCTTGAAGGGTGATATGAACAGACTAACCAATGGTAAGCGATCTAGTAAAAAATAAAATAAAGCAGGAAAATATTAGAAACGTCATGAAAATTTTTTCGTCATCGGATACTAGGACTCCTGATTCCGACGTTTACTTTAGAAAATATCGCCAAATGCCCTTCTGTGCATGACCCATAAACTAACATTAACAAGCGAGATAATGGTTGGCTTGTTTCCAACCTTGGGCTGGTACATTTCAGTAAAACCAATTTGTTATTGATTATTCCAAAATTATCTTGACATTTGATTATTTCAAAATTATCTTGACATTTGAGAGATTGGTATTTCTGCTCTTGACATTTATCATGGCCAGGAAATTTTGTTACTACTTTGAACGATTTTATTGATAATATAAGCTCAAAAATATTTGATCATCATCTAAATATTTGATCATCAGCTAAACAAAAAAAATTTCACTCGTATTCAGGCTATAGAAACTGGTTTGGGTTGCAAAATCAACGCTGTATTATATAGATGCAATGTTTTCTAGATGTTAGAAAATTGTTCAGATGTTGGAACGATGTTTAATTGTTTAATTTGTTTTTTACTGTTTAGTTGCGTCGAACATTACATCTACATTTAAAGTTGTTAGAAAACTAGGATCGCTTGTTAGTTGTCTATGCACGAACCCGATCATTAAACTATGTTACAAAATTGATAATGATTTAAATAGATTTATGTAAATATAGATTTAAATAGAATTATACAAATCATTAAACATTAAGCATATAAAAACATAAGTTATAGTAACATTTTGAATCACAGCATATAATTAATAGGACAGTAATTGTTGTAGATTGATGAATAGAATTTATATTGTCCTTGGAAAAGTTAGCAAAAGAAGAATATTGTTGAGGGAATGTATGAGATCACGAGAGTTGCTGCAGTTGTTGAGAGTGTTCTTGATAGAATCGATCCTAGACCTCATAATAGCGTCTCGAGCAACACATTTAACATTTTTGTAGTTGACGAAGTTGGGCGCCGATTTTTCATGTTTTTAGTGACGCTTCATACGACGTCAATTTCTTTCAGCAGCTATTGCTTTTTGGGATAAAGAACAACGAGGGTGGGAGCTCTCGTGAAACAAATAATTCGTATTCGTTGACGATGTCATTTAAAGTTGTGTTTAGAGCTGACGCAAACTCATTGACCTCCAAATCTTGCGGGAGCAGATCATCAAATGCTCTGTTTAAATAATTTTCGAATGACGTGTAATTTAAATGACGAAAGCTGCGCGACGGCAGTTATGGATGATTGTTGATGATGGTTTGAAGAGCGTTGAATTGAAGCACACAATGTTATGATCTGAAACGACACAATCAATGACGGTTAGGTTATTTACAATGTTGTTGTTAATATGAGCGATTACTAGGTCTAACAAATTTCCCTGTACATGTGTAGAGGAGCTGACGTGTTGAGTGAGATTGAAGGATTCTAATAATGAAGATAGATGATGATCAGTACCCAAGATAGATGCTGGTGCTTGTAAGTCGCCGCAGATGATAAACGGTAGATTATGGTCAATGATGAAATCTAGATGATCGGTAAATTCATATGTTGAAACAGGACCGGGTGGTTAGTAAATTGATGAGACAATGAATTACGATGAAAAAGTGTTGAATTTTACTGAAATGGCTTTTAAAATTACAAAAAATTGTACTATTGTTGATGGTTGTTGCCCCTCAGTAAGTTGTACACAACAGCCAAGCTGCTACCACGTTTGTCACTGGAAGTACCACGATGAGAATGACAAGCTAAGTAACCCAAGGGAGCCAAACTTTGTAAAACTACCCGTGGGCATCGGATGGTATCCAGGTTTCGGTGACGACGAGACTGTCAATTTTTTTTTTACATTTGACGTCGTTCAAAAGAGCAGACTAATTGACGGCGGACCTTGCATTTACAAGCCCACATTTTAATTTGGACAAGCGTTTGTCTTTTGAAAATTGACATTTCTTTAAAAACAACTGATATCAACATCTGTTAATACTAAGCAGGTAATGTTAGTTAAACTTTTCAAAACTGATTGAAAATTTACATTGTTGTGAAGCTCATCAAAAGTTTGACAAAGTCAAAAAATTAAAAAGTGCGCATGGATCTCGTTCAAGGGCTAAATGACCTTTGTATATGTGTAAAGTATTTGTGTGTTTGTATGTGTTTGTCCGCTCTATTTACCTATTAAGTCTTTCTCCTTCATATTTTTGCATTGAAATCTCCGATAATGTTTGTTATATACGCTGCAATAGTTGAGTTGTGCTATATTGTTATCTTAATTATATGTTATCTTTGTTATATATTTGTCATAGATTGTAAAACTACAGTATATAAGGACTGTAGTTTGTAGTTGTCGTTAGAAAATCGAGTTGAGCGGTGAATAATCAGCGATCGTTCGCATTATTTGATTTGCGGATAATTCATTGTTTCTGTTGGCATTCGACTAAACGTTTAAACAAGTTTTTGTTTGAAGTAGTTGTATTTACCTATCGAATAACTTGAGATCTTTGAAGTTACAACAACCTCCTTTAAATTTTAATTGATTATTAGTAATTAATTAATCAAATTTAATTCAATAAATTTTCAAAAAGTTGTTTATTTTCAAAAAGTTGTTTATATATTTTATTCGATTTCAATTGAATTAATTTGATTTAATTTTGCAACTTGTATTAAAATTATTTAAAAAAACGTTAATGTGCTTTTTTAATAAATTTTGATTATTTTTTTAGTTGACCCCAAAAAAAAATAAAACTTCAATACTTTTTTTATTTTGTTTTGTAGATTTTTTATGTGAAAATTCATTAAATGAACGATCACGTAGCGATACTTCTTTGGGTGTTTTGACAAAGAAATTTATGCAGCTCCTCTTGTCTTCTCACAATAAGGTTACACTTTTTTTTTACACTTATGAATTAAATGATTTCTAACCAATGTTTTTAGTTAGATTTTTTTTCAGTTTTTTTCTTATAATTTGAATAATAAAATATTAATTACAAAAACGTTTTAAGTTCTTTAAACATTCCAATGTAATTAAAAAATCTACGTTATTCAATATAATTTCTTCCATTTACATGTTAATTTTTTTTTGTCATATTGAAGGTTAAGACTTAAGCATAGGTCAATGGTAGACTATATATTGGTAAGGGCCAAACATAGGAAGTATGTGAAGAATGTGAAGGCAATACCTGGTATGCTGCAGCATAGTATGGTTGTGATGGATGTGACATCAAAAGAAATGGGGAGGAGGAAGAAGTTAAGTTTGTGGCAAAGAGAAAGACATGGAAGTTACAGGATGCAGAAGTGAGAAAGGCATTTGAAGTGAAGGTGGTTGAAAATTGGGAGAGTGGTAAGGATGGAGATATTTGGGAGAGATACAGGGACTGTGTGTTGGCTACGGCAGATAAAGTATGTGGATGGACGAAAGGAAAGTGTAGGCATGGGATGAAGATATAAGAAGGGTTTTGGAGGTCAAGAAGGAGAGGTTTAGGGTATGGAGAAGGGACATGACGGAGGAAGCGGAGTCTGAGTATAGGAAGGCTAAGAAAGTTGCAAAACAGGCCGTGGCAACTGCAATGACGAAAGCATCAGATAGGTTAATGAAGGAAATGGAATTTGATGTGAGCTCGAGGAAAATGTTCAAAGTAGCAAAGCAGTCAATGAGGGATAGGAAAGATGTTATAGGGAATGGATGTGTTTGGGGTGGATCTGGCAAGTTGTGCATAGATGATGAGGAAAAAGCTCAGGTGTGGAAAGCTCATATGGAAAGGTTGATGAATGAAGAGAATGAGTGGAATGGAGATGTGGAATCCGCGGTTACACACGGACCTATAGAGAAGGTGACGATGGAGGAAGTAGAGAAAGCAGTTAGAGAGATGAAACTAGGTAAGGCGACAGGGGTTTCGGAAGTGGCGGCAGAACATATAAAAGCGAGTGGGGTGATAGGAATTGAAGTTATGATGAGAATTGCTAACAGTATGTTTGATGATGAAGGTATACCTGAGGATTGGCGACACAGTGTGTTGGTGCCGTTGTATAAGGGCAAAGGAGATGTGAGAGATTGTGGGTCATATAGGGGTGTGAAATTGCTAGAGCACGGAATGAAGGTAGTGGAGAGGGTGCTTGAGAGGAGGTTGAGAAATATGGTGACAGTTAATGAAATGCAGTGTGGGTTTATGCCTGGTAGGGGAACGGTGGATGCGTTGTTCATGGTGAGAATGTTGCAGGAGAATTATAGAAAGAAGAAACGGAGATTGTACATGTGTTTTGTGGATCTAGAAAAGGCTTTTGATCGAGTACCGAGGAAGGTCATTGAATGGGCGTTAGGGAAGAAAGTCGGTTTGTTTAAGTTGTTCCAGTTTGGTTGTCATTGGCCATGTTTCTGCACCATATAACAACACCGGACGTATCAAAGATTTATAAAGTCTTGATCGTAGTGGTAGTGGAATGTCACGCCGCATTAATATAGATGCAAGGAGATGCCATTTATTCCAGGCTGCACGTATGCGTGCTCGAACGGCAGCTTCAGCTGTTCCAGTACAATCCAGAACATCCCCTAGATAATGAAACGATGTGACTTTCTCTATTTTAATGTCTTCAAAAACATTGCTATTTCGAATTGTTGTTGCGGATTGATGCAAGCAGGACAAACAAAATTGGACACTTTAGATAAAGTACCAATTATTTTTGAACAACGTTGTTTTTGACACCACTTGGTTACACTGTTGACACTTGATTGAATTGTTACCTACACCAGCTTTACAAACTGAACAGGGCCATCGTCCAGTAGCTGTGGATTTGGATGGGTTCACCAGTGTTCATTGCTTTGGTTTTGCTGATGTTGACTTTGAATCCATGATCGGCGAGTCTGCTGTTCCAATCTTCAAACATCTGTGCTGCATTCTGCTCAGACGTGGCTGTTAAAACGATATCATCAGCATATACTAGATTCCAAATGTCACCAGTGCGTATCGGTTTTGTGATTTCTTCCATCACAGTTATAAATAACAGTGGATTGAGAATCGAGCCTTGGTGAACTCCAACGCCGATGTCAAATGCATCTGTGTTTCCAACCGTTGTGCTGACGAGAGTCTTAGTATTCGTATACATTTCCATCACAAGTCGAATAAGATATTCTATAATGAGTTATCGACGTAGACTCTACCTGATTGCTTCACGGGGAACTCGATCAAATGCTTTTTCAAGGTCTACAAAAATGTGTGATAGTTTTTGATTCAAATAACAAATCACTCTCATCAAAGATATTTAAACAAGCTTTTAGTTGATGTTTAGTAACCTTTTTTTGTAATTCAAAATTTGTCTCTTTTCAATATCCATTCAGACAAGCAAGAACATTTAATGTCTGATTAATGTTTGATTAAATGTTCTTTGTTAAATCTTTTTCAATAATACCATTCATGAATGAATGAGGAAGTTTTACACCTTGATGCACTGTCACTTCATAATTTTCACTGATCGCCATTGAACTGATGGACATTTATTTTTAATTTCAATTTTGTATATAATCAAAAAATTGTTCAATTTAAACTCAAATTTTGAGGGGAAAGTGCATTCTTCAGATAAATGTTTATTTAAAAATTCATTTTATAGGAACTCTTCAGTTGCTTTTTCTGCCCTTTCAATATCTAACACGTGACGAGTAGCTGATGTAGATTTTGTTGTCGATCGAGGTTTTTGCATTGGAGTGGACAAATATAAGGTGCATTCTGAAATTTGGATAATGTTGCATCTTTAAATTTTCTTCTTCGCCTCTTAAACTGGCAACCCCCACAGTTCTGCAATTTTCTATTCTTACCAACCATTAAAACATGTTACGAAATCTGATTGATCCAAGTAGAGTGAACAAATTTGGAAATATTTGTTTGGAACATAATCTTTACAAGGATTACCATGTACCCATCCGGATTTTTGTATTGGGTAGGCGTGAAACGATACGTCGTTTTTCTCGTCATTTACTGCATTTGATATGTATCCACTTTTACATCCGTAAGCTGAACATTTATTCACTATTTTATATATAATTACAAATATTAAATACAATGTAAAATTATTTAAAAACAAGAAAATTAACGAAATTAAATAAACGATGATTGAAACATTATAACAGCATTATAAAACAACGTGCACCACAAATAAAGATAGTTTAAGCAAAGGTCATTTATTTAACGATGCGATTGCTTAATGCTTGGGCCTACTATGCTCATGTTATGATGTTTGTGAGTTAGGTTTTTCGTATCTTATGCCTGTGAGACAGCTATGAGGTAATTCGACGGGGACAATTAAAGTTTTTCGGAAGAAAAAAATGGGCAGGGGGCAGTTAAATCATTTGGAAGAAAAAAATGAAAAACCTAACTATTGGAAAAATTGCAGCGGTCAACAACGAATAACATTCGTGAAGTCCTTATGTCAGTTGTCGAATATCAACTCTTTCAAAGTGTTAAAGATTGAGTTTTGTGGAGGTCGATGGAGCCCGAGAGGATAAGGCACAAGAAATAAAAAGAAAGAAGATTCCTATTTTAAATTTTCTCTTTAGTTATAAACTTTCAGTTAAATTTTTTTCTATCATCATAATTTTTATATATGTATATATGTAATTCTATTATTTTATATATATATATATAGGTTGATGATAACTAGCTTCTACTATTGCGTCTATAATTTCGGCAAATGAAACAGCTAAAAAAGCATTTATATAAAATATACTTTTTCACAATTTTGAAAAGGGTAAATTTGTATACATATAATTTTATAATTCTATTATTGTCATTTTTTAATATTGTAACAAAGACAGTAAAAAAAAAGTTAAATGAGCCAATGAGTAAATCATTTTGGCCACAGATTTATCTCTACATTTTTATATGAATAAATTTTCCTCTTTACAGTCACTCGATTTAAACAAAGCTTCAGAATTGTTGCAAGTTCAAAAACGACGAATTTATGATATAACAAATGTTTTGGAAGGCATCGATCTTGTTGATAAAATATCTAAAAATAAAGTTCAATGGAAGTATGCGCAGTTTAATTTTTTTATAACAACTTACTAACCCTATGTTTACTATACTTATATACTTTTTTCCTAACAAACAATTATGCATAACTGCAAATGTATATGTAATAAAAATGTTTATATGAATAAATTGGTGAATATATATATATATATATATATATATTCACCAATTTATTCATATAAACTTTATATATATATAATTCTATTATTGTCGTTTTATAATATTATAATATTTAAATTATATATACAATAATATATATGTATATAATAAATTAATATATATATATATATATATATTATATTTATAGTGCATGGAAGTATTAATTTCGTCTATTAAAAATCATTAATTTATCTTAGCACAGTGGTTGTCTTGTGTCGAAAAGTTGTCAAATAGTTGCTTTTGGTTTCAGGATAATTGCTTAATTTAATTTTGTTTAATTTAAATTGTAAAAGTGGTTATTTCGTTACTTTGTTGCAAAATTGAGTTAATTTTTTAATCACGTGTTGTTTGTTTAGTCGACTTAAGAGATACGTTTTTTGTTAATTTAATTTTGTTTAATTTAAATTGTAAAAGTGGTTATTTCGTTACTTTGTTGCAAAATTGAGTTAATTTTTTAATCACGTGTTGTTTATTTAGTCGACTTAGGAGATACGTTTTTTGTTTTTCATAAAACAATGGATACACGTGAAAAATGTACTAAATGTACAAATACCGGATAATGTCGTTAATTTTATACGTACAAGCAGCAATGTTAAATGGTTTTGTGACATATGCATCAAGACTACACCAAATGTCAAGTTGTTGTCCAAAGCAAATGAATTGTCAAAGAAAATTGATAAATTGAATGACTTGAATATTGCAATAAAGTCAGATATGGATATTATAAAAACTGCCATTAATTCAAGCGAGGCCAAGTTAAATAAACTTGGTGGTTCGGAGTCAGATTTGAATGACAAAATGCAGTCATTAAAACACGAGATAAAGTCAACTTTTGCTTCGGTTGTTAGTCAAGAAGTCAAAAAGAACGTTGACGTTCTTAATGCCGAAGTTAAAAATGTGCATAAAACTTTGATTGAAGCGTCCGATTTGAAAGATAGAGAAACAAATATAATGTTATTTCGACTGCCGGAAAGTGTCAACGATAAAGAGCGAGTTTTAAAAATTTTGAATCACTGAACGGATGACGCCATGTCTGATAATAATGTTCTAAAAAGTGTGAGATTGGGTAAAAAAACTGATGGCATGTCGAGACCTTTGCTTATCAAGTTGGACAATATTGCTGTTAAAAATCAAATTATAAAACGCTCTTTTAAATTAAGTTCTCTGATTGATCAATTTGGTCGAATTGGCATTAGTCATGACTTTACTAAAGAACCGAGAGGTGAATTGAAAATTTTGCTAGATGATGGAAGCTGCTAATAAAGATTTTTTATTCAAGGTTCGCGGTTCTCCTATATCCCACATATAATGTAAACATTTATGTCACAGCACATAATATCCACTTTTCGAGCCGAAATCGAAATGCATAAGTTTGATCATTATGACGCCTGACGTCATTATGACACAACCATAGATGGTACCTAAGCTCATATTAACACTTGTCTTAATCAAATTTATTAAGCTGGAAGATTGTAAGATTTCCGGTTGGAAAAAGTAAATTTTGATGGATTGGGTTGTGGCCGGGCTGCTTTTATGAGTGTGATAGGTGGTGGTAGTAGTGGTGAAGGTCTTGGTTTTGATATATCTGCTTGTTCTAATGAGGTTGAATTAATTAGGTCGATTTCTACAAAGTTTAATGTTGTTTATGATTTGATCTACGATGGATTGGATATTTTCGTTGTAACCGAAACTTGGCATGGGTCTTCAGATAATCCATCCATTGCACTATCAATGCCTCCTTTATCGTTTTGTGGATTGTGTGAGAAATTATGATCTTTTGCATGGTGGATTAATAATCTTTTTCCGTAACTGTTTGAGATGCAAAAAAATTGATTTACCTGCAGTTGTCACATTTGAGGTTTTCGCGGTCAAATTTACAACCAACAACCGGGAGTTTATATTGCTCGCTATTTATAGCGGGTTCTGCACAATTATCTTCATTATTTTTTAACGAGCTGATATTGGTGCTAGAAAATGTAACAGTATTAAGTTATCGTATTATTTTGACAGGTGATTTCAACGTTCACATTGAAAGGACTAACGATCCACATGCCGCTAGGCTAATTGATGTTTTTGAAAATTTTCAGTTTCAAAATCATGTAAAAGAACCTCCGCACATACATGGTGGTACACTGGATTTAGTAGTCACTTCAGTCGATCTTCCTGTCCAAGACTGTATAGTATATTCAAGTGGAATCCAATCCACTCTGATCATGGTTTCATTAAATTGCACTATCAATGACTCGAAATTGTACGTCAAGAATAAAAAAAGTAGTCAAATTATGGAATCGTTTGAATGAGGATGAATTCATCAAACTTGTTCTTGACTCTCCAATGTCAAAACCATGTTCAACAGAGAATATTGATGAAGAACTGCAGTTGTTTACCAGCAAAATAAATTGTGTGATCAATAGAGTTGTACCAATCCATATGGCAGTCACCAATCGTGTTAATTTGGCACCGTGGTTTGATGATGAGTGCAGGTTTTGTAAACGTGCTTGTAGAAGGAAAGAACGAATTTTTTAAAATAGTTTGCAACAAGTTCATCGTGAGGAATGGAGATGTGCTTTGAAAAATAAATCAAAATTCTTTTCAGAGAAACGTCACAAATATTGGACTAGGATTGTCGTGTCGAGAAGAACAAGACAAAACCTAAAAATCTCTGGAAAGTTTTGAATAAAATTCTCTGTAGAGATCATAATGACAATCATTCTTCTAGTATGCATGAACTTACGCCGGATCGATTTATGTCCTTCTTCAACGACAAACTGAGTAAGGTGATAGACACATCGAAATCAAAGTTCAGTCTAACTCGTCTGATTGCAGATCAAATCTCAAAAATTTGTTCGCAACATTTTCAGATGTTTCTGAGGAAGATATAATCAACATAGTAAAAAATTCACCAACAAAGTCTTCTCAACAAGATGCAATACCGACTCACTACTCAAAAAGTTTATTAATCTATTTTCGCCATTTTTGACATGCCTTGTCAATATGTGTTTAAATCAAAGTAAATATCCCTCTGTTTGCAAACATGCTATAATTATAAAAACTCTACTACTAAAAAAACACAATCTTGATGAGAATAATGTTGAAAACTATTGACCGATATCCAATCTGTCTTTCATATCTAAAATAATTAAACGTGTGGTGGTTAAACTGATACTCACTCACCTAGAAAATAATCATTTAATGCCGATTTATCAATCAGGTTTCAGGCAATACCACTCAACTGAAACGGCTCTCTATTAAAGGTTCTGTCTGATGTCTATGGGGCCATCGATCAACAGAATACGTCTATGATGGTGTTCCTCGATATGTCATCACAAAATACTTTTAGAGAGATAGTGTGTTACTTTTGGATTTTCTGGTGCTGTGTTAAGGTGGTTTGAATCGTATTTGGTTGGTAGAACTCAGCAAGTATCATTAGGTGGTAAAGTGTCCGAGGTCAATATAGTTTTGTCTGGTGTGCCCCAAGGTTCGGTTCTGGGTCCTGTCATGTTTCTTCTGTATACATCTGGAGTATTCAAAATGATCGAATCATTTGGTTTTTCATATCATGCATTTGCGGATGACATACAAATCATTGTTACCAGTAAGCCTGGTACTTTCCGAACCGAATTGGACAGATTGGTTGAATGTTTATCAAAGGTTGATTTGTGGATTTCTTAAACTGAATCAGAGTAAAACGAAACTTTTGCCGGTAGGTACGTGGCAACAGCTTTTGAAGCTAGAAACTGATTCAATCATTATCAAAAACAGTGTCATCCCGTTTTGCCAAAAAGCTACTAGTCTGGGATTTATTCTAGATTCCAATTTGTCAATGAAAGATCACACTAGAATGCTTTCCGTTGAATGCATGTACTAAATAAGAAAGCTCAATCAAATACGTAGATCTCTTGACACTACTACGTTGCAGACTCTGGTTCATGCCTTCGTGCATTCACGAATTGATTATTGTAATAGTCTGTTTTACGAATTACCTGATAAACACATGACTGTATTACAGTCATTGCAGAATCGTGCTGCAAAGGTTGTTGTCGGCGGTTTAAAATATGATCATGTATCACCAATACTGAAACTGGCTAACCGTAAAAAAAAGAATAATCTTCAAAATATCAACTCTAGTCTAAAAGTCAATAAATCGTCTTGCTCCACCTTATTTCTCAGAAATGTTTGCAAAGATGTTGGCACCTCCTTCTGGAACGCATCTGAGGTCTCATGATCTGAACCTGCTGCTAGTCCTAGTTTCGTGTCTTCATATGGGGTCTCGTAACATCGCCGTCTTGTTTGGAACAATTTGCCTGCCTTTCTTAAAGATCCGGAGTTGAACCTGCCTGATTTTAAAAGAAAACTGAAAACCAACTTATTTTCGTCGTAGTTCATTGAACTTACTTGTTTTAGTTATAACTGAGTGATTTATTTTGTTTATTGTGCCATGTTAGATTAAGGAAATAATGAAGACTGTTTTTTTTTCTTAAAATTTTTTCGTTGAAATGCACTGATAACTCTTTATTTATGTTGACTATGCCATGATATTTTTTTTTGATAGCGCTTTTGAGATCCTTTGAATTAGCGCTTTATTAAATTTTTCATTAATAATATATATATATATATATATATATATATATATATTTATATATTTATTTATATATGAGAACAATCTTTTATTCAGTAATAAAAAAAAAGAAAATTACAGTACAAGTAAAATAAAATAATGAAATAAAATAATGTGTCAAATGCAATAAATAGAGTGTTAATCTGAGAAGCTCATCGTTCGAATCGAGAGAGTACGACCAGAGTTAGTTTTAAAATTGAATCATTTAACATATCTGTCGCAATAGATAGCGTACGACGATGATATGGCAGAGTTTATA